GAGCTTTAAGGTCCCTTCAACGCAAACCAGGCTGTGATTCTGTGGAATTACAGGTGCTATTCTTCCAGAAAGGCAGCCACACTGACTTAGTCTAGAACAGCCTTACAGCTTTGTCATCAAGGAAGAACAAGGACCGAGGGCATCAGTCAAACTACAAGGGTACAAGAGCCAGAAAAATGCTGAGAAAGCTCCAGCTTGTGAATTGTCCATAATTATCCCATTCTGTGCAAAACGTGTGCTGCAAAGAAGGGGCCTGCTGATGCAGGGGAGAGTGGTTCAGGGCTGAAGACAAGCTTCCTGGTGTGGCACTCAAGCACCAAATAGGTGATGGTAATGGGCAGAAACCAGCAGTAAGTAATAAAACTGACTGGTTTTATTAAAAGTGGAATGTAAGAATTCATTTTTCCTAGTTTTTCTCGATTTGGGAAATAGAATAAGGATTCATTCAAAATGAAATTTCCAACCTATTCACATTTCTAATGCGAAATGAACCAAGCCTCTGTAAAGCAACTGGTTTTTTCCCTGTTTCGGATGAAAAAAATGGAGCTTTGATTTTTCCAGCTGAAATGGGTAAGGAAAGAAAGAACAATTTCAATTTGAATATAACATTAATTATTTGAGGACTAATCATTTCTAGGACACAGAAATTAGTTCAGTATTACTAACTACATTAAAGCCAAATTCATTCAGCTATAAAACATGCATATTTTATTGTGGGATCTTTTCTGGAAAAGTTTACAATTTATCACCTAATACTTACTCAACGCCATATATCTGTACAAAACAGATTATTCCCTAGAAACGTTTTTCATTTAACCTTGGATTCAAGTGTAATTGTTGCTACGCAATTCACATAATTTAAACAAGGCGAAAAAAAGATCTACCTACATGGATTTGTTTCTACAGCTTAACTGCATTCCAAACCATCACATGCCCCATATTCCAACTATTTTCCCCACTTTAAGCTCCTTTTAAAAAGAAAGGTTGAAAAGGCTATTTGAGGAATAAAGCTTCCAAACATTTTGAAACACTTAGTATTTTATTATTTGGCATTCTCATATATACTGAATAGATGTAGTCCTTTCAGGGTTACTCCTAAGAAAGGGTGGAAAAAATGTCACACTCCTTGTTGGAGGGAGCCTTTATTAAACAATTCGTTTGTGCTGCATCATGTGACACATGAACCACAACTTACTCTCAATGCCCAAAAGCTCCTTTACAAATATTTTGTAAGGGGTATGACAACAAGGTAGGAAAAGTTCATAGTTTTATTTGTGTTTTTTCCCACAAAACTCTTCCTGACGTTCACTGACAGCATCAATTCTTTGCTTGCCATAGTAAACAAGAATGGTTTATCTAAAGAATGTAAGGAAATGTGTCAATAATTTACATAAACACCTTTTCTTCACAAAGGTTGACCTTCAAGTGGTATATTCATTTAAACTGTTTAAAATTCCCCAAAGTAAGTAATTTTATTCTCTAGTACCAGGCACTATAAGTAAGATTTCTACTCCTGGGGATTTTATTCTTTACCTGGTACATCCCAGCTGTTTAGTGGATTAGTAAAATTTATTTTATTATTCTTCATACAGACTACTACAGTAGAGCAACGTTAGAGGAAAGTCTTAGCTTTATATGTGTGTTACATAAAGATGTACAGACACTCCACTTACACTTAAATGCATTAACATCCCAGGACTCCTAGTTTAATTTAAAGATCACAAGAAACAGAATGTGGCAATGGCAAAATTTTTCTCAGTGGAGAAGACAGACGACAGAAGACACACTTGGATATCATTTCAGAGTCACTACGTTGCAGGCACAAGAAAGGTCTTTCACATTCTTCACACTGGTGGAAATGTAATTTAAGAAGAATGGTATTTCAGTTAATCACCTATGACAGACATGCATTATTTCACACATGAAGGTACACCTCATTATACAGATGTACATCTATATCTAAGCTTGACTTTGAGGTGCCCTAGGTCTGTACAGTTTGACACAGATAGTGCTGGTCAAAATTCATTCCTGGGATGAATAGTTTGGAGGTTTTTTCCTGACTAAACCCCTATTTTTTGTGAACTCTGATTTTACTTCTTTCAACTAATAAACTACTATACTTTACTTTTTGGGTGACTTGACAGCTATTCAGCTTTTAGCTGTCCTGTTTCAGTGATTAGCATTAGATGGTTTGGAGCTTTTTCTGTTCACACTTTCACCTGACCATTCTCTTACTAAAGGAGACACGAGGAAAGAAAAATAACAAACAAAAAATTGTCAGATTACAATAATTTTAGATGAACTATTAAGCCATTATAGTCAGTACAAACAAATTTTTCTACTGACTACACACATACTCATGAAGTTTAAGGTACTTCTATCAGACTCAATTTCCTACTTGTGAAACTATTTACAAAAAATTTGAGACATTTTTTTAATTGTTACGTATGTTTTAAGTATTGCTAAAATGCAACAAAAAAAAAAAATTCTGTACCAGTTTTAACCATATCCTCAAATTTCTGGTAATTGATGCTTTTAGGAATGTATACATTTTCACTGCTTGCACATTAATAAAATTTACTTAAAAGCTTAAAAAAGCTGCTACCTGCTTTTGAATACCTGCTACTGAACAAGAAAGTCTGATAAAAATATTATAGAAATTTAAAAAAAAAAAAAAGTGATTTTTCATGCACTTTCAGTGAATGCTTATTGACAAGGAGGAAAATGTACTCAAGCTCTTGAAAATCCACTACCAAAACCAATGGAGGAACTGTAATAAAAAGCATGTTCCAATAGTATTAGGCTTGTTAATGTTCTCCTTTCCTAACACCTATATCTAATTCATGTTTCAGAAGTCAGAATACATACAGCCTTAGCTTTAAAAAGATGCTCCTCAGAATTCCTATTAGCTGGTTTATGTCCAGGAGCACATGAATATTACCTGCCTTGGTTTAGTAAAGCTCCTATCTAAGCAGCCAATTAGACTGTAGAAGCACCACATGTAGAAAAGTGGAATGTATTTTTTTTTTAAAGTACACATATGTGGCTGTGTTTCCTAAAATAAAAAATGCACCTGTGTATAAAAATTGGTGTCCTTACCCAAATCAATTTTTAGAAAGGACTACATCCCACTCCCAAAAAAGGATTTGACAATTTTTGCAGAGAGAACAAACATAATCGATTTGTGTTTTTAGCCTGGAAATCTGACAGCTTTCCTTTAACATTCAAATTTTCTTTCTGAACAAAATGCAAGGTGTAATTAAAAAACAAAGTGATAGAACCTGAGCAATGTTTGAGCCTCTTTCTTTTCTGATGTCTGTCACTGAAGGAACGTCATCCATCTTCTCAACATTCCACAATCGCAAAGTAGAATCCTGAGGAAAAGATGTAATTATTTTGATAGTTTTGCATATTACCAAAAGAGAGTTTTACATCATTTCCATAAGGAAGAAATCGTATCTCATCAGATGAACCCTCTCAAAATGAGAGCTAAACTCTCTCACATTTAAATACCATGTCTTTGGAATCTTTAGCAATCTGAAACTGCCCGCACATTTTAAAATAATCAGAAATAAATGTACTTACCAAATTCAAGATTTTCTGCAACTGCTTGAGAGAAATACTGATAACTTAGCACTTCTATGAGCAACTTGACCATTGTTAAATAACTCCAAAAAAGCTGAAACGAGGGATTAAATCTTCACATCCATTTTATAAGTTAGTTCTTGAAATCACATTGGCAATTAGGAATTACCTTTGAGGCTGAAAGAATCCATTTCTTGTTTCTGCTGATAGCAACATCTGTCACCCAGTCCCAATGACCCTACAGTAAAGCAAAATGTAATTATAACACATAGAAAAAAAAGTATTATTTTTATTATAATAAAACCAACTATTTGTACCATAAATCCATTTTGAAATGCAGTGAGAAAGTTCTTATCTAGACTGCCTGATGGCTCATCAAGAAAAAAATATTGCTGTGAAGTTCATATGTTCCTACAAATACCTGAAAACCAGTGGTTGTTATCATGTCTAGTAAGCAGATGCATAGTTGTAGCACTCAGAAGAATGACAGCTACACAGCTACCACGGGTTTAAGCTCCATTTAAGCATACGTCCTTTCTGGGTTTTAAACAGTTTAATAAAGAATAGTGAAGAGAGAGTGGACTTGTAACACTCATTACCTAAAAGCTCTTGAGGCTGTTTATCAGGTGATAATGGAGGCAGGAGATGTGGGAACAAACAGCAGCTTCTCCCCGTTTTAAGGGAAGAAAACCAGTTCTGAAAGTAGGCCAAGTCAAGAAGCTGTATCAGATATCCTTGTTCACATGACAGCAGCACAACTGATTTGAGGTTAACAGCAGCGAGCCAGCATAAGAGTAGAAACAGGTTAAACGCTAAAATAAATTATTTACCATCTGGGGAGGTTATTCAAACATGAATGGTATTAGCACATAAAATTCCTAGAGATTAGGAAGGCATGGTATCATTTTGATAGACAAATGCCACACCTGAGAAATACAGTGTAAAAAGAACATATACTTTTCCAGCACACAGCACTCAAACATGCATAGATAAAGTGTGTTTTTTATAGCAGAATCTTTAAAACATGTTTTTAAATTTAGCTATGAGCCCAGAATATGATTATACCGAGGCATGGATACTGAACTGCAATTCTCCATAGTTACAAAGATACTAGCATTTACACTGATTCCTTCTTTTTTATGGGAAGCTGAGTTAGTTACAGTGATAGCTGTGAACTGGGAAATTTGCAGTACTTGTGTGGTATAAAGCACCGATGCTGGTGTACTGTTACTGCTCAAAAGGTTTAATCAGCACAGTTCCAATTCCAGAGGGTAGGTAAGCTTACATTTAAGACAACAAGCATAAGGCACAGGCTTACGAGCTCTCCTATATGAAGATGTTATTTTGAATGTGACAGCAGTTGAAAGCTATTTTTAAGCCTAAGGTTTAGAAGGAAAGTGGTCTTTTCTGAGATCTTCCAGGTAGATTTGTTCGTGTTTTAACTACATATTGAATAGCACATGCAGTAAGTAAAAATAAAAGTCCATTAAAATCATATTTTCATAAGACAGGAAAGACCCAAGGTTGCAAAAATCTGAACTCTGACATTGCTTGACTTCTCTGAAACCAGTATTTCCAAAATGCATGCACATAACTTTATGAATGCTGTGAATCCTTTGCTTTGATCCACATGTCTGATTAGTGGATTGTTCCCACTAAAATAAGAAATGAATGAAAGGCATTGTAATACAATATGGTATGTTTGCGAAAAATAAAGTCATGATGGTACAAAGCAAACCTAGTTAAGAGTTGGATTTTTTTTTTTTTAATTTATTTTATGCAGGTATTACTTTCCACCTCAAATTTTGGCTAGTATTACCATGGATATGGAAAAGAGAAGGCCTAGCTCTAAGGACAGCTAAATACTGAATGGTTACCTCATTTACAGAATTGTCCATCCTGAAAACTGTAAGATGTTGGACCGCATCCCATCACTATAAGCAGTAACATAAACCATGTAACCTAGGGACTGAACTAAGCTCAACACAGATATTTACACTTCTTCTGAATGCTTCCCTTTTAATGTACTAATTTCTGTGGACATAAGCAAGCATGCAAACATACAGATATGCATAAGTGTGGCATTTCAAAATGAACATATTCACTATCCAGGCTCTTGTTACTTGCTGGAAGAAAGTCTCTCCTAAAACATAGGTACAAGTCCATTCAACACAATCCTTACATGAGCTTGTTCACAAGAAGAATTTTAATAGCTTGTTAACAACTGACTTGACAAAGGCAATATCTTTGTAAATAATTGTATATGAATGTACTGTTCTAGGAAATTAAATCACACAAATCCAGGATATATTTGTGCCTGCATCTAAAAAGGACAGGCAAGGCTATTTGTCAGCTAATGAAATACACAACACTTTTAAAATAGCAATACATTTTACATCTTCTAATCAAACTAATGACCAAATAAGAGAGCTCAGTACCTTTAAGCTTAGCTTTTTATAGCCTGCATCTGTATCCCATATAGCTACAGCTTTGTCATATCCACCAGACACGACAAGGGATGCTGAAATGTAAAATCAGAATACTGTGTTTTATCTTTGCTTTGTCATGCAGACTAATAAAAGAAGCTCCTTCTAACACTGAGTCAGACGTTATAAAAAAATCTAAGTAATGAGCTATTAGTCATGGCTTAACAATATAGTAGAAGTTCCTTTCAGCTACTTGTTCTTAATTTTGTAAATATTAATACATAAATTTAGCAAGCACACAAAAGAGTGGAAAAAGACAGATATGGTAATGTTGTTGATTTAGAAAATTAAGGAGATACCTTGTTTAAAAGTTAAAATATAGAGAATACCTTCAAAATTGTTAAGTCAACTGTTAATAAAAAAGTAGAAGTCAGCGTGGAAAGTATGCTTTCAGATTCAATAGTCACAGGTCTCCCTGCATGTCTTCAAGACACAGGTACATTTATCCCCACAGAGTTGCGATGTATGTATTTGAGTTGCCTAACACAGAAGGCACTGCTTGCGTATGACTGCAGATTAACCTGCTGCCACCAGTTCAGGAGTCATTTCACTGGATTATTGTGAAGATGCAAAGTTGTAAAAGAAACAGCTAATTAGATCACATCTACAGAGATTCATATTAACCCATCCCAGAAGAGAAGCTGTTTTAACCCTCCGACTCATGCGCAGCCCATTCTTAAGCAGCCTTGTCCTCAGCCAGTTCCCCAGTTTCTATACTAAGCATGATTCTCTGTGGTATGGAACATCTCTCTGCTCAGTTCATGTCTGCTGTCCTGCCTGTGCTCCCTCGCTGGCAGAGCATAAGAAACTGAAAAGTCCTTGATTAGGGTAAGCACTACTGAGGAACATCAGTGTGTTATCAACATCATTCTCAGACGAAAGCCAAAACATAGCACTGCACCAGCTACTGGGAAGAAAATGAACTCTATCCCAGCCAAAACCAGGACACCTGGACATCATTTTCTCATAATCAAACATGTTGTATTGGAAATAATGAACTAATTACCTACATGATTACAACGTGGTCATTCATGGTTTATCTGAGATGTCCTATACATCAACATACATTGTGCACTAACAGTAAGATGACTCACCATCTTGGCTAAAAACGCAGGAACTAACAGAACCTTCATGTCCTTCGTACAAGGAAACAGGTTCATGACACTGAAATTCTCCTTTCTTTATATCCCATATTTTTAAGCTTCTGTCCCAGGATGCTGTGCACAAGTGATGACCATGAGAAGTAAAGCAGCAATCTGAGATAGCATTGCTGTGTCCCCTGAAACACAGATGAAAACCACAGGAAGAGCGAGCTTTGGTGACCATTACAAATCTCTCAAAGAACCTCCTGCAACATCCTGCACCCTGTCTCCATCCGGTAAAGCATCTTAAGTATATTCTGAATTTTAACCATATGAACGGTTATGTGAAGTCTCTGGAGCTGCTTATAACCTGATGGGATTAGGTCATTTTGCAGGATTGAAGCCCAGCTGTTAAGTGGTGAACACAGTTTAACAAGAAATTGTTCAGCGACTTCTTGTTAATTCAAGCAATTCAGCATCTTATTAAATTACAAAAAAACCCCAAAACAAAACAAAAAAAAAAGCCACCCATCTTTCATTAAGTAAATAGCATGCATTTACTTCTACATGTAAATTTCAACTCAAACATTCACAGGAAAAAGATTAAACAATTCTAGATTGAAGTCTAATTTTGGAAGCAGCAATACCCATCAGAAAAGAAATCTGTATGTTCCAGAACTGGGTGGGAACTCCAGTGCTTCCTGAAATCTACAGTGGAGAAAGGATTATGAGCATCTCTTACAGGAAACAATGCTGTAGTCACTGCAATTTAAAAGAAACATTACAATGTTCCAGATTGAATTTCCCATCCAAAGTAATTCCTAATCCCTCAAAGACAATTTTATTACAGTGTTTAAAGGCAGACTCTCTCTCTCTCTCTCTCTGGTTATTAAGAATTTTAAGTTAAATTAGTTGAGTTTATTTAAAGCCATTGATATTTTTAACAGTTGATTTGACAACTCTATTGTTGCATACTTCCTTCTTAAAATGATAACGATATCCTAAATTGACATAATGTCTTTACTGACTTCAGTGAGAAATGTAAGAGTTAGGCAAGTGAAGGCTCAGGAGATCACACTGAGCAATGCTCCTTGGCACTGGGCATGACCTTCTCCAAAAGCATACAGGGAAAAATGATCTGGAAAAACAATCTCTGTTCTCAAGAGAGTAACTGTAATTGGTTCATTGTGAAAATGAAAGTACAGAGTTCACTGGGGTCCTGAATCCTCTCCTATTTCATACTTCCTTTAACAATGTAGATAATCGGATAAAGAGTACAGACATGAAATGAAGCCAAAGAGGGTCTGCAATTATACAAGGCAGAAGGTTAAAATCAAAAAATTCAGAATTATCTTCACAAATTGAAGAAATTCTCAAGAAAATAAAAGGGTTATAACAATCTCTATAGGAAACAATGCTGTCATAACTACAGTGTGCAAGTCTTCCAGTGATAAATAATCTGATATATAGGGTTCAATTTTGTCAAGTCTGACATTCTATAGTAACATACAAACAATAGACTGCACAGATAAGGGGTGGGAACAACAGACTACATCTTCAAAAAAGTATGTAACATATACTGACTCTTTTTCACCATCATGCTGTCAAACAAAGAGTGAATCTCGTTCCAGAGTGTATGAACAGAGGTGCATCCACAGAGAAGCATGTAATGATTCATTTCTATTTTTTTCCAGTTAGAGGGAATACATTATGGGGCCATATAATTCAAGAAAAAGTGGGCCAGCTGGAAAGATCTCAGAGATCAACAAGAATGATTAGTAAAATAGGAAATAATAATTATATGTTAAATGAATAAGGATGGTTTAATCTACTGAAAAAATTACTCCAGTAGCTATAACAGGAACTCTTGGACATACATGAAAATGTAGAAGAAAACAAGAGAATAATCTGAACTCCATGTCTGAAGTGGATCTGAACAGAAACATACTAGCTTAAGCCGCAGATGAAATAGTCCACCTTACGAAAACCCTTTTAGTGATTAACACGGTGAGACAATGGAGCAGATTGTTTTGAAGTCTGTCAGGTCTTCACTGGAGCTCATGAGCAGCAGAGTAGATGGTTGCTGTGAAGCCCACGAATTTCATGAAGGGCTAAGGTGATCTGTTTGCAGTGCAAAACCTAATTACCACAAAATATTCTGTAAGAACGCATGATTAATTTCCAATTCCCAACATCTAGATGTATTTTTTCCTTTTCCTCTGTATTATTTTTCTTCACTCTGTAATATTTTAAAGGTTTCTCTAAGTAATATTTTATTTCCTCATTCCTCAATTATTATGCATTTTTCCTTATTAGTAGAAATCAGAATAAGAAGTTTAGGGTACTGCAGTACCATATTGCATATGCTATCTTCTGCCTCTATATATAACCAATAATATAGAAGGTCAAAAAAAAAAAAAAAAAACACCCCACTAGAAATGCTTATAGTCATCAAAATACAATTTTGCAATTATTTACAGCAGGAAGCTTGAGTGGACTATTTTATTCACACTTTCTATATATTTCATTTGCTTGTGTATTACTTTCTTTAGTTCAACCATTATTGTTCATTTTCTCTAGTATAAATTTTAGAATAAATCTTACTGATAATTGTGAAAGCTGCAAATCATGCCGTGGATAAAGAACTGTAATATGGTTTCTTACTTGTTAATTGTAATTGAGGTGGATCGTGTTAGCATATCCCATAGCTTTATGGTCTTATCATATGATACTGAAGTCACTCTCTGGTTATCAGGATCAAAACAACATCTTGTGATTGTACTTTTGTGATGACCTATACAAAAAAACATCAAGTGAAACTATTAGTTATTTTGAATAATTACATCTGGATCTCCAAACACAAACACTGTAATTTCAAAACTACTGTTTTCACTGGCCAGGACACCACCTCACCTACCTAACAATGAAAGACAGGCCTCATAGTAACTGCAAATAGGACAAAATACGAACCTGTACCCAGGCACTCACATACACAAGTTAGCGTAAATTCACATGCTGCCCTGTAGTAACCTCTCTGCTTCATCCCTGAAAACAAGCCTGGAAATGTGGCCCCTAATGCCAGTGATAATGCCAACAGACCCTCATGGAGCACTTACTCAGCTGATAATACTTTGAGAATGCAAATAGCTCCATTAAAGTAATGTAAACAAAGTATGTCCTGATAGTGTCACCCAACAGAGGCAGTTCTAATAACAGTATTACAATTCATTAGTTGCACTTTTTATTTTTAAATCCAGATGATGTTACCATCAGGCTCTGACTGACAGGAGCATGTTAACCATGTGCTAATTTAACATTTGTAAGACTGCTCATATATTCTGAAGCTGATTCTGCAGGAATAGCAGACTCCCTGACCTGCAGTCCTGAGTGGAAGCTTCAGGGACTGAGTCCTCACTAGCAAAATTATTGATCAAAAGAGAATCACTATTGATCTCATTCTGGCCCATTATCTCCTTTTTATAAGCCTGTGCTGAAAAATACTGGGTTTAATATCTTACAGGTGTGATAAGTGAGGTTTGTTCATCAAAAGTTTTAAGGGGTAGTGTTGTTTGTTATACTTTAAGAAACTCTTTGTAACTGTTGTTTGTGAAACATCTTTTTTCTTTGTGAAGGGAAAGTCAATTGTACTATTATGAAAAGTATACTTTATTAAAGTAGGATAAACGCTTTCAGAGAAGGAAAAGGAAAGGGGGGCTGGGTGGTTCGACTGGTATCTTGTTGCAGAACGATGTAAAGCTCATAACCATATAAAGGATGGAGGTTGAGGGAGTGGTTAGCCTAATGAGAGAAAGTTCTCGAAACTTCTCGATGATGAAATCCCAGCAACAAAAAAGAACCAATGGAAAGGAGCTACGTCAATATCTGGGCAAAAGGGATAACGGGATTGGCTGAAGCCAAAGTATCTGGGCAAAAGGGATAACGGGATTGGCTGAAGCCAAAATCGAGAGGTATAAAGGACAACCTCCCAGGGACCCGGTGTGCGTCTTGCGTGGAGCGGGGACTCCCCAGCACACCCAGCACTGTTTTTTATCTGCTACTGCTTGCTCAATTCAGTAGAATTTATGTTTTGAAACGAGAGTGGCTCACTCGGTTATGACACAGGGAAGTTTCTTTTGCCTTTCTCAAGTAAGGATACTTGAACTGAACTGAATAATTAATTTTCTCAAAATTTTGTAATAAAAGAAGAAAATTCAAGAGCTGCATAAACAAGACATAAAAGTCTTAAGTCTTACCTCGGATATGTGCCACTACTGTTGTACTTACTGAATCAAAAATATGTATGGCAATTTCTCTGTCAGAACTAGATACCACATATCTACCATCACAAGAAATGTTACATGAAGTTACAATGCCATCATGTTCCGCTGTCCACTAAAGAGAAAATAAAAGGTTTTAGAAACATGTTTGAGAGTTAGAGAGAGTCTTACAGCAGACTTGATATAATCTAGAAGCAGCTTCAGAAAGGCTTTTGACACTACTTAGTTTTGGTAAAACCTGATAGATGTCTTTATAGCCGATCTTTCTATTTTTGCATTAGCAATAACTTAAAAATAGACAAGGCCACCCTGTTCAAATCCCAAAATGTTAATTTAATCTTAAATGTATCTTCTGAGACAGGTTATTATTATCATATCCTTATATAACTGAGACATGTTCATCAAGAGACTTACCCAAGATCAAGCAATTATCAGTACCAAAACTAGGACTAGAAATGAAGCCTACCTACACTAACTGTATTGTATTGTGCTAATGAAGAATGTTTGCTTCTTTATCAATAACAAAGCAATAAACCTGAATTTAACAGTTGTACCTTCTGCAAGATGCATTCAAAAGGATACATACAAGTATTTTTCCTGTTTCCATATCCCAAACCTTGACAGTGTTATCATATGACGACGTTACCATTCTAAAAATGTTAATGAAAACAGCAAACAATGTTTTTCACTTAAAAGAATGTTCTATTAAAAAATAACTCAAAACTTTTAATTCTGACAATAATTTGACATCCCCACACCCACTAATTTAAAATAGGTTTTTAAAGGCCATAGCAAAAGTTATTGCACAGCTTAGCTGAGGTAGAAATTAATAATAAAAATGTCATGTGTGTAATTTTCAGTGCAAGCAGTCATCTCAATTTCATTTCATCCATTACAAGGTATTTAATTACTTCTAACATTAGAATAATTTTAAAGCCATTATGATGTCTTTTCTTTAATGAGTGTGAAGTGTTCTTGTCAGTAGGGTTTCTGGGGATTTAAAGTGGTTTTGTTGCTGGGTAACCCTCTACCACAAACACTGCTCTGCACATACACAGAGCCACATTAGACAACAAAGCTAGTCAATAAAGTTTACTAAAACTGTCAGGTTTCCATTAACTGTGAGGTCAAAAATTTGTCTCTTGCACAGTTTCATTAGAGATTTCAAAATATCTACAGTAATACTAAAAGCCACAAGATGTGACAAATGTTTTTAGTACTGTTATGGAATTTTATTTTTAAAAAGTTCATCAACTCTCACTTTTATACATGTTGCCCAAGAAGCTTTATGCATTAACATTCTAAAAACTAAAAGTACAATTATTAAAATGTTTATTTTCTCCATATATTCCTGCAACCCATACTTCCTGCATATTTCCCCATACTTCCTGCAAGCAACGCAATCTCTACTCCTAAACAGAAGCATGTAATGCAAAAGATCATAAGAAGCTTATGAATCAGTGGCATTTTCTATTGGACAGTGGTTTCCAGGGCTGCATGCAATGGTATTTTACTTGCTGTTTCGCAATCGCAATAGGCAGAGTAGCATGCGTACTATTCAGTAACCAAAACTAATTGGTCAACTCTAAATCTAATAAAAATTGATTTAAACTATGACTTAATGATAAAATATGCCAGAAACAGAACCCCTGGAGGCACCGCATGACCTACTTAACCACACGTTAATACATGCTGCAGTTGTTTTAATTATTATGGCCACAGATTGACACTGGATTAAGATGCATTTCTTCTTTAATTGACAAGACAGGCTTAATGGAAAGGCTATAGAATATTAATAAATGATACAGACAGAAGAAAATTTTTATGGAGGTGTAAATTTCACTGACAGATGAACCCCTCAACCTTGGCTAATTCGATGTTGTCCTTTTACACCAGTGATATATATTTATATACTTTCAGAATTATGGCAAAAATAAACTTATACCCTGTATAACTCTGAATCAGAATTAGACAAGTCCTTTACACTAAAAAAGGCCATAATCTATCCTATCTATGCCTATCAGACTATTCAAACATGCATTTCAGACAACAAAAAGATTTTTGTTTAATTCAGCAGACATCATAAGGAAAATGGAAAAGATTTAAGAGCTCCTGTACAAATTGTAGGTGAGAACAAGGTGAAATTTACGGTAGTTTATTTGGATAAAGGAATCTGGCAGTAAACAGAGTATGGACAGCATAAATGACAGTGCAAAGATGGAGAGAAGTAGGGGGAGTACATAGAGGGAGGGAGATGTAAGGTAAAATTTTAACAGAATGACTTATGGAGCACCAAATACAGCAAAATAAGTTTGACTTCGATGTAATACAAGTTAAAAAATCATAGGAAGGATTGAAAAAGTAAATGACTTGTTCTAAATTTTATATTAAATGTTCCGGTATGCACTGAAATTGAACCTTGACATCATGAAACCAGGTGGGTTTTGGTCTTTTTAATAAATTAAGACAGAAAATGGTCACCTTCTGTCATCAGGAGTCAAGCTGCACTCAGAAATTGGGGCAGTGTGCTGTTCTTCAAAAACGTGAATAGGAACACCTTTATCAACATCCTTGAAAAAATCCAAATTACTTTAATTAGGAAGTGCTTTGCTAAATTGTTAAAAAAACACAAAGCATGACAAAGTAAGAGAAAACAGAACTCTTGAAACCAGTAAAGTTAGTCTTACTTTAGTTACTCTTACGATCTCAGTCTCTCTATTCCTTCTTTTCAAGACTGACTGAAAGAGCATTCTTCATCTAGCAGTCTTCTATTTATCTCCTGCCTAGCACATTAGTTTCCACCAGAAATTTCTTGAAAATAGATCTCCTTAGACTCTCACATCCACGTCCATACCTAAATCCTGGCAAGTGATTCTTCATAAATTTAGATCATAAATTAAGATCATCAAGTCCAACCATTAACCCAGCACTGACAAGTCCACCACTAACCCATGTCCCTAATTGGCACACCTACATGTCTTTTAAAAACCTCTAGGGATGGTAACTCCACCACTTCCTTGGGCAGCCTGTTCCAGTGCCTGAAAGTGAAGGAATTGTTACTACTATCCAACCTAAACGTCCCCATTATGAATCCATTATCATCTTCCATCATCTTCTACCTACTTAGTCTGTTACACAGAGTGTTTTAAGTGATTTCAGGAAGGGACTATCTTCTTGTCATACATGTATAATGCTCAACACATAGTGCAGTCCTAAGCCATGAGGAAAGCTTTGAAGTTCTTTAGTAATAGAACTAAAATTATGAATCAAGTCTTACAAATGGATCATGGTGCCTTACTGTAAACATCAAACCAAAACAAACCCAAACAAAACTACCAAACACATACATCCCATCATAGAAGAACAGCTGCCATTCAGAGCAACTCACAGATCAAAGTATCACAGGATCAGTTATCATACCTTCATCTAGGCAAATAATCTTCCATTTCCATGATTAATCCAATTAACTAAATTAGATTTTTGTCTGTGTAAGTACCAAGAGGTTTCAAAACCAGGAAGCAGGCACCCTTCAATGTGCATATGATTTTTCATTTGTCTTCAATATGAGAATAAAATCTTGCACCTCTGACCACTAGTCTCTTTTTAACCATCAAATCTCAGATTTAGAGCTGCTTCCTCACAAGGACTCTCACTTGAAGGAGCTATCCCACTCACTTGGCACCTCTTCATAACAGGCAAAACCGGAGTAAAAGTCTATTTATTTTGCATTTTTTTCTACCTATTTTCTGAATGTGTGTCAATGCTCTACAGACCTGATGACAAACAACTGGAATCATTAGGAATGTCTCTAAGACTGAAGGGGGTGGAAAAAAAACAAAGGAAAAGATCAAAGTTACTGTATGTTCTTGTTCTATTTTTCCAAGTCAAAAAGCCTTGCAGTCACAAGTACCCTTCCAGACTCACCTAGTCTTTGTCTGCTGTGAGCCCTAATAATCTTTGTTTTCCAAAAGATGTGTGGACTGTCAGTGACATACTGTCAGCTCTCAAGAGGAATTTCACATGCTTTCTCAGTGCACTCAATCATTTGGTATCTACTCTTTCAAAGGAAGAAAACCCTACAGTGAAATTGTCAGGACTGGCCTAGCGCCCTGTGACCAAGTCCTCCATATTCGCCTGAATTCTAATTGTTTCAGCTGTTCCTGCAGAAGAGGAAGTTAGGCTTGTCCAGACAAAATTAATCTGACCAAAATAAATGAACACAATCCTGCCTACATATTGCTGTCAGAAAATTCCCAATACTCAGGCAGATACTTTCACACAGATTCTGAAAAATAAGTATTGCTCAAGAAGCATCGAGCAAGCCTTTCTTTGACAAAAATATAGAAATCAGATTTCCTAGACAGATTAGCCCTTCCACGCTTCAGGCAAGTGGCACATTACAGCCTTCCCAGCAAAAAGTTCATGGACCTACCACGCTTTAAAAAAAAAAAAAAAAAGGATTATCTTCTTCTTTTTGGGTCTCAATTTCAGTTCACTTACATGTAAGAAAGCTGAACACCATTTCGCTAAACACAGAAAAAAATACAAGTTCCAGTTCTGAGTTCAGACAAAGAAGGACAGTTTGGAGCTGTCAACATGACAGTTATTAAACCATAAATGTCATGACTAGCATACTGAGATACTTATTTTTATTTCTCCTATCTACAATATTTGCTTAAGGCCGCAACGTATGTATTTACTTTGGAGCTGATCATTAAGAGACGAAATTTCTTAGACTGGGCCATCCACAGCCCTCGGATAACATCATGAGCTGGATAAATTGCCTGGACTTTCTACACTTTTGGAGTTCTTGGGCTTTTTCAGTATGTCTGAAAAAAGGTTTAGATTATGGCAGAAATCTAGAATGGCACTGGTAAGAAGTCAACACTTCCGATGCTTTATAAAATTAGTTCATCTGTATTCATATCATATTAAAGTACTCCTATACCTCATTACCAAATATTGAATCAAGTCATGACTGTTTAATATACACCAGATTCAATGCCTGCAATCTATTTAGCATGGCTACATTGTCCTTTCCTTGCAGAGAATTCAAGGGCTCACGTAACAATGTCTCCGAGCCTGCTTTTAGGCTAAATTTATACTCTATCACCCAGACCTTGGAGACTTCCCGGGTTCATATCTCACTGTTGCCCTGCCCAGGGTGGCTGGGAAAACCCCAGCTAACTACACAAAACTTGGAGGAACAAGAAAATAAAGAGTGTAAATTAAGATTTAAATAAAAAGCAAGCAACAAGTATGAAAACGCTACGGCCATGCTGATAACAACTGTGTGAACTCTGAAGTCTACTTCTCCACAAACAGCCACACACTTAACAAGTCAGAAAAAGGAACTTTAAGGAGAAAAAGGGTAAGCTTTGCATATCAACTTACAGTTTTCAGATATTAATAAACCAGAGGTCCAGTTCAGTGTATGCCACATATGCTTACAAAAGTCACCTTTTAAAGTTAAAGACTGTGTTCAAAGTGTAAGATAGGAGGTTTAGTATTTTTCTGTGACTGCAAACACATTTACAGCTGCTATTTTTAAACGTAAGTATCTTCAGACAGCTCCTTGATGATTCAGTAAATCTTCGTGCCTGTATAACATTCCTTGTTTGATTTCATCTTTTTTTAATTTGTTATTGCGTTCATAACATACCCAGAGCTTCACTGTTTTATCATAAGAGCATGACAGTATTTTTGTGTCTCCAAAGCAGAAGTGACAGGAGCTCACAGTGTCACTGTGTCCTCTCAGAATATTGAATTGGATCTGTAAAAGAATGCAGAAAATAGAAATATTTTCCCTTGAAATAATTTTTGACAGCTTATCTCATGAGGGAGAGCATAAAAGCGAGAACTGGAGAAGAACGTTTCAAGTTCCATTTGTCTGGGAAGGGCTCACATCCTCTCCTGGGTACTGGGTGTGAATTTACCAAATCTGGTTGAGGAAGAAAAGCTGATGGATGTGGATTTTGGTTTTATTTTTCTGGAGAAGAAAGAGGTTTGGTTTGGTTTCCCAATTCTTCTTCCTTTTGTGAAAAGTAATATTTATCTCTAAATCTCATGAAGTCTCTCTTGAGTCTTCCAAACACTTGTTTCCTTGACTCTGACCCATGAAAGAGTACCGCATCAAGCTCTTAAGCTTAGGACAGCACATTTTAGCTTAGAGCACGTTTTGGCCAAGGCCATTACAAATTTTGAAAAGGCTTTTCTTCAGACATCTGGGATTTCGCTTATGACTGTCCAGCACACGTTTGCGTGGACAGAACTAACAAAAAAGCAGCTGCCGTGAGTGTTAACCACACAAAGCTACAGCTTTCCAACCCTCACTTCCCAGCAGCCAGGCCTCCTTCCCCTCCCCAAGTACCAGTGCTGTGAGCTCATGGTTGTCCCAGCGACCCTCTGTCGGGGA